GACTAAAATCTGTTCTTGCTTTAACAGTTAGGAAGTCACTGGTGACCAAGTAAAGTCTCTCAGTCATGTCTGACTCTTTGTGACCCCGTGGACTATACAGTCCATGGAATTCTCCAGAGCAGAATACTGGAGTGGGTAGCCTTTCCCTTCTACAGAGGATGTTCCCAACCAAGGGATTGAACCTAGGTCTCCCACATTGCAGGTGGATTCTTTACCAGCTAAGCCACCAGGGAAGCCCTGGTGGTCAAGGGATACCTGTAATTTCCTGCTCTTAGATGCGGCTGAGGTTGGCGCAAGAGAGCACATGGTGAGGAGTGAAAGCAGTAAGACATTTGGAGAAATGTGATACAATCCTCCCACTGGAGCCCCATGGTCTGGGTCAAGGGTAACTGGAAGGCTGTAACTTTTCATCCCACCCATTTCTTCAAGAAAGATGTATAGGGACATCATACCCATTTATTGCTGTGACTTATTATAAAATTAAATCATAATTCATAAATAACTATAAAGAGCAAATTCTCCTTCAATTATGGCTAGGATTCTTGTAGAGAAAAAAACAAATTGTGGTTCAGTAATATCAACCCAGCACTCAAGAACATTTTAAAATTAATTCATACATTTACTTAGTGCCACTTATGTTTTTAGTCATTGGGTTAAACTGAGCAGAAGTTACCCATAAAAAGAGAGAAGCTGAAATTAGGGGAGAGGAATGCCAACAAAGGTCTGTCTAGTTAAGGCTATGGTTTTTCCAGTAGTCATGCATGGATGTGAGAGTTGGACTATAAAGAAAGCTGAGCGCTGAAGAATTGATGCTTTTGAACTGTGGTGTTGGAGAAGATTCTTGAGAGTCCCTTGGGCTGCAAGGAGATCCAACCAGTCAATCCTAAAGGATGCAATCAGTCCTGAATACTCATTGGAAGGACTGTTGAAACTGAAACTCCAATACTTTGGTCACCTGATTCGAAGAACGGACTCATTTCAAAAGATCCTGATGCTGGGAAAGATTGAAGGTGGGGGGAAAAGGGGACGACAGAAGATGAGATGGTTGGATGGCATCACTGACTCAATGGACATGAGTTTGAGTAGGCTCCAGGAGTTGGTGATGGACAGGAGGCCTGGCACGCTCCAGTTCATGGGGTCGCAAAGAGTCAGACACGACTGAGCGACTGAACTGAACTGAATGGCTGGGCAATGAGGTGCCCGGTAGGGCAAACAAGGCCCAGGAATGAAGGGACCGGCCCTGAGCATGAACCGACACATACCTTGATCAGGATGGCGCTGAGGAAAAGATGTGCACGTGGGGCCGGAAGAGATAGATGGAGACCATGTCTGATGGTCTTGGTGTTCTGGAAGAAGTAGACATGGTCTTGTGCTGAAAAGTCAGTTGAGGCGGAACAGGTATTGCCTCGGCAGCTTCAATGAAGGGAGAAAGGGCTGGAGTAGTCATAAATTAAAATAGTTGTTTGCCTACACAGCAGGCCTCCCTGTTAAACTGCAAGTTCCCTGAGGGCAATGTGGTTCTATTCTTACCCCTTGGGTGCTTTACTCAACAGTTGAAGACCCATAGGCATTTTGAAAGCTCCTTTCAAGAGATGGTACATTCATTTTGAGAAATATATTATCCCTTCACATTTTTTTTTACAAAGCTGGGCAAAAGTGAACTTATAAGCCATTTAAGAATTTTTATAAATGTATGCAATTAACTTTCTTCCTACACAGCACGTAGTAGCTCTAACTTAAAAATCAGAACTCTCAAGAAAAAGTGTGAAATTAATTTTCTTAAGATATAATTACGAAGTCAGGAGACCCTATCCAGTCAGTTCACCAAGATGTATCAAGGGCATCCTTGTCAAAGTTCTGATAGTTCAAGTTCTATCCTCCAATGATAGGGCAGGATTCACCTCACAGCTGGTTTCCCATTGGCTCTGAGATGTGGGCGGGGCCACCTCTTCCTGCTACAGCCAGTAGCTCCACCCCACTTCATGCAAATAAAACCAAAGCTCTAGGGACCCACGTGATTGGTCACGTGACAAACGACGTCAGCCCCACCCCTCTAGTGACGTCATCATTCACACTCTCACGAGAGTTTGTGGATATGGGGAGAGGCTAGCAGGCCAGATCACTGTGTCAAGAGTGGGGTCAGGGGAGGGGGCTTCAATACAAAACCCCATTCCCACTGCTGACCCTCCAGTTCAGCTTAAGGCAGGGGCCCAAAGGGGCCTGTGGGACAGTGCCCAGAGGCGGGGGAGGGGGGGGTCCCATGCATGCTCTTCTCCCATTGGTTGACTGCATCGGCATGCAAATAAGGGTGCGCGTCACTTCCGGAGGCCAATCGAGCGCCATTTTCTCTTTCTGGCCGAGCTGGGAGGAGGGGACAGGGTCGCGCGGGGTGGCGCGCGCCGAGCGGGGGTCCCGCCGCGCGGGGCGGAGGCGGTGCCCCAGCGGGCGCAGCCAGACGTGCTAGGGACGCGGCGGCGCTGCGGGCGCCCAGCGGTAGGTAACCCCGGCCCGGACCGCGGCGACGCCCCTGGCCCGACCCGCGAAGTCCCGGCGGCGGCTCCGCCCCACCCCGCCCACACCCGGTGGCCCGTGGCCGCCTCTCTAATCCCGCGACGTTCTGCCAGCGCGGGGCTCGCGGCCCAAAGGGCGCCCGTCGTCCCTCCGCGTCACGTGGGGCCGGGATCGAGGGGGGCGGTGATGGGGCCTGGGGGGCGGGGCGGGGGACGGCATCAGGGCGAGGGGGACGCGGGGACAGGGCGGCGGCCGGGGAGGGCAGGGAGGGGGGCGGGCTGGAAGCCAGAGGGCCGCCCGGAGCAAGCGCGGACGCGGGCCGGGCAGAGGCGCGCTCAGCCGCTTGCCCTGTGGCGGGTTTTTTCTGGAGGAGCGCACAGCTGAGAGGAGCCCCAGTTCCTTCACCCAGGAGTTTTCGGTGTGAATACTGATGACGTGCAGATGTTGACATTACAGTTGAACTTTTCACATGCCGCCGTTCACCGCACTGACGTAGAGCGCGCAGAATTTCTCCTGACTCTTGGCTTGGGAACGTCGAAAATAGCCGCCAGTTCTAACTGAACGGTTGTTAAATAATTAAATTTTAAAGTATTTTCTTTGAATTTGAATGAGAGGCTTGGCGGAATGCTCTTAAAACTCTTTATAATTGAATGGAATGGGTAATGGCAGCCTCTTGAGATCTGGAGGACTCTTGTCTGTGGTGATTTATGATGCAGATGGGCAAGTGCCTCAGGGCACGGGCAAGCCCCACAGGGCTCGGGAGGAGTCGGGAGTAGCGTTCTGGGAGAGTGGACCACGTAAAAAATGCGAGTTGAGGAAAGCGCATGTTCGGCTTTGGTTGGAAGTCAAGTAATATATGTGTAACTTGTTTAAACATACATGTTTACAAACATGTAGCTTGTTACTGGGGAGGTAGCCATGTTATGAACGAACTTTGGTATTCTAGTTGTCATTGGGAGTTTGTTGAGGCAGTGGTCTTTAGACATGGAAGTGACCGATCTGTGTGTTGTAAGGGTACTGGTGCTAGGCTGGCGGGGGATTGGAGTTGGGAGGAGATAGGTTCACTCGTCTGACTGAGCAGTGGTAAGGATATGAGAGCTGGTTTTAGGGTTAGGAATTGAAGATTGGTGTCGGGAGAGGATGGGGAAGGAAATGGCAATTTACTCCCGTGTTGCCTGAAGAATTCCATGGACAGAGAAGCCTGGTGGGCTGTAGTCCATGGGGTCGCAGAGTCAGGCACGACTGAGCAACTCATACACACACAGAATTCTTGTAAGCACTCTACCTACCTCTCCCGTAGTGAGTGAGAGAAAGTCGTGCCCGACTCTGTGACGCCATGGACTGTCAGGCTCCTCTGTCCACGGAATTCTCCAGGCAAGAATACTGGAGTGGGTTCCCTTCTCCAGGGGGTCTATCTGACGATATCTGGGACACCTTTTTAATTTGATCCAAGTTTGCAATATATTTCTGGTGAATTTATGGTTGTAGTCACTTTGAGTGGTCACACCCCAATATTCTGCTGTGGCTGCCACTCTGGTTATCACATGGTTGTCACACATGTTGGCAGTGTGTTACAAGGAGAAGACTGAATGGTGAGGACTTGCTGAAGGTGACATGTCTGAGAAGGGATCTTCTTGTATTTGAACCCAGACCTTTGATTCTTGCTTTCATGTATTGTATAAATACCATGTGTTTTTAGTTACTTAAAAAAAAACACAACCACCCCTGTATTCCAGTAGTTTCAACATTTCGCTTAGAATTTTGGGAGCTTGTTGTTCAGTCATTAAGTCATGTCTGACTCTGCCAACACCAACGTCCGTGTCCCGTGTCCCCCCCCCCCCCCCCCCATGGGCTGCAGGATTCCAGTCTCCTCTGTCCTCCACTATCTCCCAGAGATTGCTCAGATTCAGTCCACTGAGTCGTGATGCTATCTGTAAGCATCTCATTCTCTGCCGCCCTCATCTTTTGCATTCAGTCTTTCTGTAGCATCAGTGTCTTTTCCAGTGAGTCAGCTCTTAACATCAGGTGGCCAAAATATTGGAGCTTCATCATCAGTCCTTCTGGTGCATATTCAGGGTTGATTTCCTTGAGAATGGACTGGTTTGATCTCTCAGTCCAAGGGACTCTCAAGAGTCTTCTCCAGCACCACAATTCAAAAGCATCAATTCTTGGGTGTTCGGCTTTCTTTATGGTCCAGCTCTCACATCTGTATATGACTACTGGAAAAACAATAGCTTTGATTATACAGACCTTTGTCAGCCAAGTGATGTCTTTACTTTTTAATACTGTCTAGGTTTGTCATAGCTTTCCTTCCAAGGAGCAAGCGTCTTTTAATTTTATGGCTGCAGTCACTGTCAGCAGTGATTTTGGAGCTGAAGAAAACAAAATCTGTGACTGCTTCCACTTTTTTTCCTTCTATTTGCCATGAAGTGATGGGACTGGATGCCAGGATGCTAGTTTTTTGAATGTTGCATTTTAAGTTTTTGGAGTTAGGTAATAGCAAACTCACAGTCTTATGTTCTAAGTGCTTTTCTTGTGTTAAATGAATTTTCTTCCTCAAAACTACTTCTCAGAGTCGGTTGTGCAGTCCGTGTTTTACAGAAGAAACAGGCCCTGGGATTAAGTAACTTGCTAAAGATCACACAACTAGTAGTAAACTGTGGTAAACTTGAACTCAGGCAGTGTAGCTCCAGAGTCTTGCTTGTGAGATCATTGTTCTGGATTGTTTTGCAAGTGAAATCGTTTCAGAACTTAGATTTCACAGGAACTTACAAGAAAGTTCTGTGACTTAAAAAAGTACTGTTTATTACCAGAATGACTTTTTTTACAGTGTATTTTTTGATAATGGAGTATTCTTAAATGATCGTGATACTAAAAACCAGCAAAAACCCTTTAAGTGCCTCTTTGGAAAATAATATTTTCTTTTGCACTTGAATGCAATTTTTGGTAAATTCGTGTCTACCACACACTGTGAAATTAAAGGTAATTTACTGTGGGACTTTCCTGATGATAGAGTAGATAAGAATCTGCCTGCCAGTGCAGGGGACACAGGTTCTGTCGCTTATCCAGGAAGATTCCAGAAGCTACTGTGCAGCTAATATGCCCGTGAGCCACAACTGCTGAACCTGCATGGTGCAGCTGTTGAGCCCGCATGCTGCAACTACTGAAGCCTGTGCTTTTAGAGCCCATGCTCTGCAACTAGAGAAGCCCCACTCCCTGCAACTAGAGGAAGCATGTGTGCAGCAACAAGCACCGATCACAGCTGAAAATAATAATAATATACAAAAGAAAAGAATAATTTACTGTGAACTGAACTTGGTAGATAGTACAGCTGCATTGATAGTACAGCTGCATTAGCCTGCTGTTTCCTAATGGTGAAATACAGATTTAATTGAGTACTAAGAATATATCGAGAATAGCATCAGTAAAGGATCTATAGATATGGAAGCATTCAGCAACTTCTTTTCCAGCTAATTAGTCCACTTGGCCTTTTGTGTAGAATCTTGCATCTCTTAGAGAATGGATAAATTATGGTAAAAGTCAGCTTTTTCCCCCCAAAGTGATTGGCAACAGTAGGCCAAGGATCTTGACAGAACTTCTGTGATTTACCTGTGTTTTATTTTATTATGTTTACTTGGTTTCCCTAAAACAGTAAGTGCTATAAACAGGAAACTTTTTCTTTAAATTGAATGTACCTGTGTACTTGTTTTGAGGGAGGGAACCACAGTAACAATGATGAGGGAATGGGAGCGTGTACAGTTGAGAATAAAAAGCTCCTATTCTGCAGGTTCAAGAAGACTTTTTTGGCCCTTCTCCCAAGCCTTGAACAAGTACTTGCAGACCCCTTTAAAACTTGCCTGATCACTGGAAGCCTCTTTTCAATGCCTTCCTCCTGAGAGTTGGCCTGTCAGGAACAGCTTGGGAACCATCCTGTGAAATGTGGCCAGTCCCTGTACTACTGTTTCTCAACTGTGATAAGGTCAGCACTTCCTATGTGAAGCCAGATTTCTTTGCAAGCAATACATTTAACTTCTTTGTTTTAGATATAGGTGGATGATGGTCTTAACCTTGGGCAGTCCTATTTATCAGCCAGCTTTTGGGAAAGAAGTGCTCCAGGAACTCTAAGGAGGACAGACCAGCACGTCTGGTGGAGTGAGTGGAGAACTTGAAGGGAAGTTTCTGTTGAGGCCGCTTTGGCCAGAGAAGCCAGTCTGGGCTTGAAAGTGATGTTGTGCTTGATTTTAAAGAACCACAAGATTCTTGACAGCTTGCCTTTTAAATTATGCTTTTGAAGCCTAGAACCCAGTTCAATGCATTTTATTGTTAATAATTTTGTTTTAAAACTATTTGCTATGATTTTTGTATCTTCTGGTTCTAAAATGCTAAATGATCTTTCAAACTCGCTTTTTACTGAAACTGAAGTATAAGTTTTACATAGGTAATTTGTCTGAAAAATGTACCCATTTCAAATTGGCTTCTCGATACTTCACATTTTCTTATTACTCATGAAAAGTTCCTCCCGCTGTTAGCTCTAATGCCCCTTTCGTGTCTTGTTTTATTCCAGTTCATGTTTTCAGTTTTACTTACCTTTTGCCAAATACATTCAGATACTCATTTACCTCAGTGATTTTTTGATGCTGATCTATTTACTTAGAATGTCTTGATCTCCAACTCACCAACTCTCTATAGCCTGTCCATTTTGAACCTCTGTGATAGGCCCAGATGTGCAGAGAAACATGATTCCTGCCCTGAAGATGTTTAGTTCAAAAAAGAAAATGGGTATATAAGGAAATAATTACAATGTAGTGAGGTGAGTGCAATGAAATAAGTATAAACTGGCCATTCTGGGAGTTCTTAGAAGGGGTTCCAAGCTTATCCTTGAAGGAGGAGGGGTTGTAAAAGGGTTTAGAATGGAATTTCCAACTCAGAGAAACTGTTGTTTAAAAATCTTGGGAGATAACTGCCAGTTGACGTGTAAATTTGGAGAAATTAACGTTTTTCTACTTACTCTCAGTACCAGTCAGTTCATTTCAGTTCAGTTCAGTCGCTCAGTCATGTCTGACACTTTGTGACCCCATGGACTGTAGCACACCAAGCTTCCCTGTCCATCACCAACTCTTGGAGCTTGCTCAAACTCATGTCCATTGAGTCGGTGATGCCACTACCAGTGGATGTTATCAGTCTTCAAGTTATTGTTTTGATAATTTGAAATTTTACATTATTTTATCTGACATTTCTTTAACTCAGATTTAACTGATTTTGTTTGTAGCTTTTATAGTTTGTGCATTAAAACCTTTTTTGAAATAGTTTCAGATTTTTAGAAAGTTGCAGGTGTAGTACAAAGAATTTCCCCTGAATCATTTGAAACTAAGTTACCAGAAAAGATGCCAGATTACCCAACATTGTCCATTTCCTACAATAAGGACATTCTACATACCCAGAACACAACCATCAAAATCAGAAAATCAACGCATTGTTACTCCTCAGCCCACATTGAAGTTTTGCCAGTTGTTCCAGAAACAACATTTATAGTAAAGAATCTAGTTAGAATTACACATTTTATTTAGTTTTCTTTAGTCTCACAATATGAAACAGTTCCTTAGTTTTTCCTTGCATGATCTTTTTCTAAGTATTATTATTGTTCAGTTACTAAGTAGTGTCCAACTCTTTGCAACCTCGTGGTCTGTAGCACACCAGGCTTCCCTGTTCTACAGTATGTCCCAGAGTTTGCTCAAACTCATGTCCAGCGAGTCAGTGATGCCATCCAGCCATCTTATCCTCTTTCGTCCCTTTCTCCTCCTGCCTTCAGTCTTTCCCAGCATCAGGGTCATTTCCAGTGAATCAACTCTTCACATCAGGTGGCCAAAGTAATGGAGTTTCAGCTTCAGCATGAGTCCTTCCAATGAATATTCAGTGTTGATTTCCTTTAAGATTAACTTGTTTGATCTTGCAGTCCAAGGGACTCTCAACAGTCTCTTCCTATAGTTCAAAAGCATCAATTGTTCAGTGCTCAGCTGTTTTTATGGTCCAACTCTCTCATCCATATATGACTACTGGAAAAACCATAGCTTTGACTATGGACCTTTGTTGGCAAGTGATGTTTCTGCTTTTTAAAAAAAAAAAAAAAAAAATTCATTTATTTGGCTGCACCAGGTCTTAGTTGCAGCATGTGGGATCTAGTTCCCTGACCAGGGATCAAACCTGGGTCCCCTGCATTGGGAGCTCAGAGTCTTAACCACTGGGCCAGCAGGGAAGTCCCTGTTTCTGCTTTTTAATGTGCTGTCTAGGTTTGTCATAGCTTTCCTTCCAAGAAGCAAGTGTCTTAATTTCGTGGCTGCAGTCACTGTCTATGGTGATTTTGGAGCCCAGGAAAATAAAATCTGCTGCTATTTCCACTTTTCCCCCATCTAACTACCGTGAAGTGATGGGACTGGATGCCGTGGTCTTAGTTTTTTGAACGTTAAGTTTTAAGCTAGCTTTTTCACTCTTACGCTTTCACTCTCATCAAGAGGCTCTTTAGTTGCTCTTACCCTTCTGTCATTAGAGTGGTATCATCTGCATATCTGAAGTTGTGATATTTCTCCCAGCAATCTGGATTCCGGCTTGTGAGTCATCAAGCTTGGCATTTCCCATGATGTACTCTGTTCGTTGGAAGGATTGCTGCTGAAAGTTGAAGCTCCAATACTTTGGTCTCCTGATTCGAAGAGCTGACTCATTGGGACCAGCCGTGATCCTGGGTTGTTTGATTGAAATTGAGGGCAAGTGGAGAAGAGGATGACAGAGGATGAGATAGTTGGATGGCATCACTGACTCAATGGACATGAGTTTGAATAAACTCTGTGAGATAGTGAAGGACAGGGAAGTATGGTGTGCTGCAAACCATGGGGTCACAAAGAATCAGACATGACTTAGGGACTGAACAACAACAACTCTGCATATAAGTTAAATAAGCAGGGTGACAATACGTGGCCTTGTTTTACTCCTTTCCCAAGAACCAGTACATTTTTCCATGTCTGGTTCTAACTGTTGCTTCTTGTCCTGCATATAGACTTCTCAGTAGACAATAAAGTAGTCTGGTATTCCCATCTCTTTAAGAAGTATAATTAGTTGATTTTTAGTAAATTTATAGAATTGTGCAACCAATAACACAGTCTAGTATTAGAACATTTCCTGCACTTTCCCCAAAAACCTATTCATGTGCAGTTATTTCCACCCACTGCTGACCACTAATCTGCCTTCTATCTCTGTAGATTTCTCCTGGACATTTCATATAAATGGAGTCAGACAATATGAGGACTTTGCATCTGTGTTCTTTCACTTAGCATCATGTTTTTGAGATACTGATTCATGCTGTCATGTGCATCAGTGCCTACTTATATTTACTGTCGTAGTGTTTTGTGGGATGAGTATGTAATGTTTTGCTCAGGTGGGAGCAGGGGGAGATGGCTCATTTATGTTCCACAATGTCTGGGGCCTCACCTGAGAAAACTCAAAGACTCGGGGTGAGTGGACAGCTGCAGGCTGTAAGAGTATCTTCACTCTCATGTCCAGTGGTTGATGTGGAACCTTTCCATGTGGGCTAGTTGAGCTTCTTGCAATAAGGAGTCTAAATTCCAAGAGTTACGGTACCCAAAGGGCAAGGAAAGTATGTGGCATTTTGTGGTCTAGCCTGGGCATTCCCATGGCCTTGCTTTATTGGTTGAGGGCACTGCCAAGTTCTGCCCAGGTTCGAGGAATGGGCATGTAGATGCTGCTCCTGGTTGGGAGGAGTATCACGGACATGTTCTGAGGAAAGCATGTGGGATGGGAGATACGGTGACATTATCTTTGGAAACTTCGGGGCCGCAGGTTATAATCTGTTACTGTTATTTGTTTGGTACCCACATTGTCCCATATTTGGCTTGTGGAAACTTCTTCAAGCTGACTTCTTTTGAGTACTTTTGACATATCTCCCCATTTTCTGAGCAACTCCTTTATTTTCTGGCAGAAGACATTCTAGGATCATTTTGTCTCTTCTGTGCTCCAGCCCTGAAATCAGCCATTTTTCCAAGGAGCCCTGCTTCCTTTTAAGGGAAAGTGATATTTAGAAAGCAAGATTTGAGCCCAAGGCGTGGTCTGCTACGGGTGTGTAGCTACTTCCAGGCTCTTGCAGTGGCCTGAGCTGTACAATATACACACACACATTAACAAAAATATATTTTTTAAATCCGTATTTATTACAGATAATAAGGTCACAGCTGTACCTTTTATCCTAGTCAACTACCACAGGATTTATTTTAATTTTATGCCTTTTCAGATATTTTAAAAGCAGCATTGGTGGTGGTTTAGTTGCTAAGACGTGTCCAACTGTTGCGACCCTATGGATTGTAGCCCGCCAGGCTCCTCTGTCCATGGGATTCTCCAGGCAAGAATACTGGAGTGGGGTGCCATTTCCTTCTCCAGGGGATCTTCCCAACTCAGGAATCAAACCTGGGTCTCCTGCGTTGTAGGCAAGTTCTTTATCAACTGATCTACTAGAAAAGCCCAAAAGTGGCGGTTACTGAGATGTAATTTACACTCCATACAGTTCACCTGCTTAAAGTGTACAGTCAGTGGTTTTTATTTAGTTCATTAACAGAGTTGTGCATAACATCACCATAGTCGATTTTAAAATATTGTCACTGTTCCAGATAGAAACCTTGTCCCCTTAGCCATCACCTTCCATTCTCCTCAGCCCTAAGCAACCAATGTTCTCCTTTTTGTCTCTGTAAATTTTGTCTATTCTGGACATTTCCTGTAAATCGAATCATATAATATGTGGTCCTTTGTGTCTGATGCCTTTCACTTAGAGTAATATCCCCCAAGGGTAATCAGTGTAACATGCATTAATACTTCACTTTTTATGGCCAAATAATATTCCATTCTTCGGATACACCACATTTTATTTATGTATCTTTTGATGGACATTTGTGCTTTTTTATTTTTTGAGTGTTATGAGTAATGGTGCTGTGAACATTCTTGTGCAGGGTTTTGTTTGGATGCAGGTTTTTCATTTCTCTCAAGTGGTATTGCTGGTTCTTATGGTACTTACATGTTTAATCCTTTGAGGACCTGCTGGACTTTCCCAAACCAGCCGCATTATTTTACTGCCATTACTACCAGCAGTGTATGGGGGGGATCCATTTTCTTCACATCCGTGCCAGCACTATTACTGCTACTTCTTTTAAAATTGACAGCCATTCTAGTTGGTGTGAAGAGTTATCTCATGATAGTTTCTATTTGCTTTTCCCCATAGCTAATGTTGTTTAGCACATTCTTAAGTGCTTAACGGCCATTTGTATATTGTCTTTGTAGAAGTAACCAGATCCTTTTCCTGTCTTTAAGTTGGCATATTTGTCCTTTATTGTCGTTGGAGTTTTTTTAATATATTCTGGATATAAGTTCCTTATCAGAAATAAGATTTACAAATGTTTTCTCCCATGTTGTGGATTCTCTTCATTTTTTTGATGGTTTCCTTTGAAGCATACAGGTTTTTCATTTTGATGAAGTCCAACTTAGCTACTTTTTCTCTTGTTCCTAGCACTTTATGGTATCATATCTGAGAACCTGTTGCCAAATCCAACATCATAAAAATTTATGCCTCGTGTTTTCTTCTGAGCGTTTTAAAGTTTTCACTTGTGCATGGAGGTATAGGACTAATTTTGAGTTAATTTTTGTGTATACTAATAGGAAAGAATCCAACTTATTCTTTGATTGTGGAAATCTAATTGTTCCAGAATAATTTGTTGAAAATTACTCTGCTTTCTTTACCTACCCTGTTTGTAATATTTTATGCACATACATGTGTATGTGTGTATATATGGATGCATGCTAAGTTGCTTCAGTTGTGTTTGACTCTTTTCGACCCTATGGACAATAGCCTGCCAGGCTGCTCTGTCCATGGGATTCTCCAGGCAAGAATACTGGAGTGGGCTGCCATGCCCTCCTTCAGGGGATCTTCCTGACCTAGGGGACGAACCCATGTCTCTTATGTTTCCTGTCTCTCATGTCTCCTGTATTGGCAGGCGGGTTCTTTACCATTAGCGCCGTGTGTGTGTGTGTGTGTGTGTGTGTGTATACACTTCTTATAGTTTTGTTTTCTTCCCTTTAAGGAAAATCTCAAAAATGTTTCAAATTCCTGTGGAGAATCTTGACAACATCAGGAAGGTACGGAAAAAGGTGAAAAGGATTCTTGTGGACGTTGGGCTTGACAGGTGCAAGGAGCTGCTGAAGGTAAGAGGACACTGGTAATGGATGAAGAGAAGATGGTAACCGTGGAGGCCCTGGGCTGAGGGGGACTCTTTGAACGAGACTGTTTGGAGAGTGGGTCAGANGCTTTAAGCCAACTTTTTCACTCTCCTCTTTCACTTTCATCAAGAGGCTTTTTAGTTCCTCTTCACTTTCTGCCATAAGGGTGGTGTCATCTGCATATCTGAGGTTATTGATATTTCTCCCGGCAATCTTGATTCCAGCTTGTGCTTCCTCCAGCCCAGTGTTTCTCATGATGTACTCTGCATATAAGTTAAATAAGCAGGGTGACAATATACAGCCACTAGTTGCAGTGTATATTTGTTTTTGATCTTTCAATTTTTTTTTAACAGAAAAAGACTAAGTCAGTTTTCTAGTATTAGAGTAATCCCCAATGGTGATGCATACTTGTATGGTAGGGTTGTTTGTTTTCTTTTGTCTTTTCTGATTTGTGAATTTAATACATGCAGTCTTATAAAAGTTTAAAATTAAGGTCACAGTCACATTTTCTGTGATCAGTTCTGTTCTCATATAATTTTATCTTATAACTTTAGAATATATGGCCGGCATAAAGAAATAAAAATTGTTAAATAAAGCTTGCTATGTAGCTTTATAGCCATTCTGTGCATGTTTAGTCCATATTGAAGATACGGACTGCGTCTGCTTTGAATTTTTCAGAGTTGTGAATAATTTGATTCAAGATATTATTTGCCCAGGAAGAGTTCAGTTTCTTAATTTTTAAATCTCAGACTTTGAACCAGATTGACTTTATTTATAAAAAGGTGCTGAAAGACCAATAATTACCAGGATTCTCATTAATGGTCAGAATTGGTTTTTGCTGGAGTTTGTGATGGACAGGGAGGCCTGGCGTGCTGTGATTCATGGGGTCGAGAAGAGTTGGACACGACTGAGCGACGGAACTGAACTGAAACTTTCTGAAGAAAAGACCTCTTTTCAAACGTTGCTGCCTCAGAAAAATCTTCCCCCTAAAATTCTGCCCTTTCCACTTCATTATCTTACCTGCTGTTTTTCTCCAAACCTCTTGTAATACCTGATGCTGTTTGTTTATCTCTGTCCCTCAGGTCAAGTATTGCCTTTGGTTGTCATCTCTCTTTAGTTGCCTTTAATGTGAATTCACTTTTAAGATGGAATTCTGTTACAGACTTAAGTGTATTTTTTAATGATAAAATGTCAGTAGCAACTAAAATTTTTCATCCTGGAGTCCTTCGAGTTTGATATTGCATAAAACTGGACATTCCTCACTAACTTCTCCCTTAGTCTGGCTAAGATTACTCATCTCAATTTGTTCAAGACTGTTAACTTTTTCTTTCCAAGACTATGCTGACACAGATATATGTATACTTCACAAAAGAAAAAGTAAGACATTTGAATGGCATACCAGTGTTAATTAACTACTTGGTTAAATTTTACAAATTCTTTTGGGGAGAAATTTTGTTTTTTTTTAATTTGTAGTTGGTCTTATATTCTGCAGACTTTCTGAAAATTCAAGCAATATAAAAGTTCATTATAAAAAAAAAGTTCATTATAGAAAAGTTAGAAAATACACATAGAAACATAGAGAAAAAAATGACTTACTTGTACGCTGTTACCCCAGAACCTCCATGGTAAACATTGTTATATTAATATCTTTTCAGAGTTTTAGAGACAGGACATGCTCTAACCATATGCTAGCTTTGTGTTTTCTTTTCACTGAATCTCACATTAAGAACTTTTTAATGTCAAGTGTACTTCCATTGTAGTATTTAGGGTTCTTGGTTAAAAGTGATGAAAACCAACAATGACCAAATGAAACGGGAGGGCATTTGTCTGACACCAGTCAGGGTCCTTTCTGTTTCCTTCTCCAGCATTTCAGACTTCATAGTGAGAATGCACTCTGCCTTCTTGGCGTTCCAAAGTGTATATGACTCCATTCATCCTAAGAGTTAGGACCTCAAATCATAGGCTGTATAGTTCTTGTCAGAAGCCTGGCTGAGGAAAGTAAACCTGAGGGAAAATAGGCTCTTCCACGATCCTTGTCTCCTTTTCTAAAAGTAGATATTTTTCTAAAAGATCCTTTTCTAAAAGTAGATATAAACCTTAGAGTATCTTGAAGAGTTTCTTAAACAGTTAACAATATTTGATCAGTTATATTAAAGGCTAGCTACATACTTTGAAGGGCACTGTGCAGAATGAAAATGTGGGGCTATGATCGGGCCCCACAAGTGTGCTGTCCCAGGCAGATGATGGCTCCCACATGATTTCAGCTTCTGAGTCAGGATGCTTCTGGTACCTGGATCCAGAGTGGGCTCTAGGCACCAAGTCATCTGCCAAACACCATGGTGCTGCCAGGCCAGGGTGAGTCTGGTAACCTTGCCTCTTCCTCTCCCCAAGTCTGTACCTGGCTCTTACCAGGGCAACTGTGGAATGTGGACCCCCTGGCAGCTCGGCTGTTGCCCCAGGTGGTGGGCAAGAGTCTCAGAGTGGTTGTGGGAGAGGGGAGTTTGGAGGGTATGGGGACCGAGAGCAGGGACAGGCTGTGTCCCAGAAACAGTGGCGGTGGGACCGTGTGTGAGCTGAAGCTTCAAGCCCCTGGCATGCTCTTTGTTGTCCTATCAGACTTCACGTCGTAAAACAAATTCAGAGTTAAAATTATCAACACTTTAAAAATGGTGACAGCAGGGATTCAACCCTGCACTGACCTTTCTGAACACAGGACCCTGTACACCTGCATTGGTTGCAGTGTTGCATTGGTTGGTCTTTTTAAAGACTTTTCCAGTTCTTTAATTTTTTAATTTAATAATTTAGTTTATTTAGCCTCATATGTTACAGATATTCAATATGTAATCAGTATAAAATAAGTAATGAACTATTTTAATCTCTTTTTTTCCCCTTAAATCTTCTAAGTATACTTAGAAATTTTTTATAGAGGTAAGATATAACATGAAATTGCCTTTGCTGTGTGACTCGTGGGATCTTATTTCTCTGACCAGGGACTGAACCCTGGCTGTAGTGTTGAAATCTCCGAGTCCTAATCACTGGACCACCAGGGAATTGCCCATTTAGCCATTTTTAAGTGTACAATTCAGTACCATTAATTACATTCACACTGTTTTCCAACTAGGTTATCATCATCTCAAACAGAAACTCTTAATAGTATTAAGTAATAATTCCCCATGCCCCCACCACAGCCCCTGATAACCTGTAATCTACTATATGTCTCTATAGATTTGTCTATTAAAAATATTTCATGTGAGTGGAATCATGTAATATTGGATCTTTTGTGACTGGCTTATTTTACTTAATGATTTGAAGTTCATGTTGTGGCATGTGTCAAAATGTTAGTCCTTTTTATGGCTAACTCGCAGCCCATTATATAACCACATATTGCATTTTATCAGTTCATCTGTTGATAGACACTTGGGTTGATTTTGTCTTTTGGCTATTGTGAATAATGCTGTAGTGAACTTTGGCTCACAGGTGTCTGAGGCCCTATTTTCATTTTTTTGCTGGATCATGTAATAATTGTTTAGCTTTTATGAGTACCTCCCTAACTTTCCAAAGTGGCTTGTACCCTTTTCAGTTCCCCCAAGCCATGCATGAGGGGTCCAGTTTAGCCACAGCCTTGCTGTCTGTTCTTTTTCTCTCATCCTCTTTCTCTCCCTCCTCCCTCGCCACTGTGGCCACTAATGATGTTGAGCATCTTTTCATGTCCTTATTGGCCATTTGTATATCTTTGGAGATTTGCTTTCAAGTCTTGTTCATTTTTAAACCGGATTGTTTGTCTTTTTGTTGTTGAGGTGTAGTTTTTTTATATATTTTGGATATTAAACCCTTATTAGGTATGATTTGTAAATGTTTTCTCCCATTCTCTTTTTACTTTTTTGATAACATCTTAAGTTTTATATTTTGATGGAGTCCTGTTTGTGTGTTTGCGGTGCTTTCTATGTTGTAACTAAGAAGCCATTGCCAGATTGAAGTTAAGATTTTCTATGTTTTCTTCTAAGAGTATTATGGTTGTAGTTCTTGTTGTTTAGATTGTTGATCCATATTGAATTAATTTTGTATATGGTGTGATGCAAAGGCCCAGCTTCATTCTTTTGCATGTGGAAATCCAGTTGTTCCGGAGCCATTTATTTCACTAATTTTCCCCCATTGAATGGAATTGGCAGCCTTGTAGAAAATGATTTGGCCATAGCTATGTGGATTTATTTCTGAACTCTCAGTTCTCTTTCATTAATCTGAATACTTGTGCTTATACTAGTATTACAGTGTTTTGATTACCATAGTTTTAAATTTTGAAGTTGAAAAGTGTGAGTTTTTCAACTGCTTTGTTTTTTCTTTCCCCCAATACTGTTTAGGCTGTTAGGGGCCCCTTTCAATTTTGTATGAACTTAAGGATTGGCGTTTCTATTTCTGCCAGACTATTGGAATTTTGATTGGGATTATATTGTAGATCACGCTGGATAGTATTGACATCTTGTCAGTATTCCTACCCATGAATAAAGGATGTGTTTCTATTTTTTTAGGTCTTTAATGTCTTTCAATAATGTTTTGTAGTTTTCAGTCTACAAGACTTTCACCTTCTTGGTTATATTTATACCTAGGCATTTTATTATTTTAGATGGTATTGTAAATTGTTATCTTAATTTCCTTTTCAGATTTTTCATTACATGTATATAGAAACACAACTAACTTATGTATGTTCATTTTGTACCCTGCATTTTTACTGAATTTATCATTACCTCTGGTATCTTATTTTGGATTCCTTTTTTTTTGGGGGGGCTGTGCTGGGTCTTCACTGTTGCACACAGATTTTCTCTCGTTTCAGAGAGTGGGGACTACTCTGTAGTTGTGGTACGCAGGCTTCTCATTGTGGTGTCTTGCCTTGGTGCAGAGCATGGGCTCTGGGGTGCTGGGGCTTCAGTAGCTGTAGCACATGGCTCAGTATCTGTGGCTCCTGGGCTCCGGAGCACAGGCTCGGTAGT